AATTAGTCAGATATTTAAAATACATTATTTCCCTGTCAACCATCATTTTAAAATCAACTGACATCATTAAGTTGTTAAAGACAGAGATGTACCTGGACCAGAGTTGGGACCAGAGTTGGGTGTATATTATTACAGTAACGCGTTACTTTTATAATTCAGTAATCACACTACAGTTACTAACATTGCCCCGACACGCGTTACTTCGTTACTTTTATAAAATCAGTCATAATCACACTGACAGACAAGGAGAGAAGAGGGGTTTCCGCCGCAGGTTTATATGTACGTAATCTGCGCGACTTGCGCGTCCACATATCCACGTGCAGTGCTGCATAAACATGGCAGAGTCAGCGATAACTTTCGAGGGGTGGAGGTATGCCCATTATTTTGAGTTCGTCCGAAGAATAGACAGGAATGTGACGGTGAGGTGCAAACTGTGTCCAGGCCAGAAGCTGTTATCCACTGCTGCAAACACCACGTCAAACCTCAACAAACACCTGCAAAGAACACATGCTAAGGTGAAGCTAATAGCTAAGGACCCCCGAACCCAGAGTGAGGATGTTGTGAGTGCGCCGCCGCCGACTCCGAAGCAGCACAAATTAGAATTTGGAGGACCGGTAACCAAAGCAGAGATGGACAGGCTTGTAGCATCCTTCATAGTAGAGGTAATGTTGCCCATTTGCACAGTGGAATCACCATCGCATCGTTCAGAGATATACTGCGCAAAATACAGATAGCAGGAGACAGAGGACAGCCATAGTCAGAGCTATCTGGATCAGTCTTATGCGACAATGGAAACTGAACTAAAGAGAACATTTGAAACTTTAGCAGTCTGCGTGATCTGCCTGTAGGGAGGGGCTGGCCGGCCCTGTGAGTAAAGTAACGAGTAAAGTAACGAGTTACTTTATGTAGAGAGTAACGAAGTAGTGTAATATATTACTTTTTTTTAAAGTAATATGTAATATGTAATATATTACTTTTTTTTAGTAACGACCCCATCTCTGACCTGGACAGACTTCCTGTTATCCAGGTGATTTAAGGGTGCAGGCTCTGTTAGGTCAAAGTGTTTCCTCTGTAACATAAAACGTCACTATCATGATCCCAACATTGTGACTTTAACTCTTTCCTAAAACAGACGCCTATAACGGTAACATTTTTGATGCTTAGCTTGTTAGTTCAGTGAACCAGGAGAATGGTAAATAGTGTATTTCTATATTGTGTTACGTGGGCCTCTGGGGAACGTAATAGCTACCTTATAGAACAAATTATGCCCAGTATGTCACTTCAACGACATTTTAGAAAGATTTAGTAAGAGAGTAATAGGGCCATTGTAGGATTAAAAAAACAGAACAGAAAAGTGAGGAATCTAAAAAGTCATCTCTAGTCAAATTACGACTTGTTTTTTAAATTAGATAGTAAATCAGTGGTACTAACTGAACCTCCATCTTTTTTTGCTGCAGCTAAACACAGGAGTTAAGTTAGTGACAGTCACCTGAGCCATGTAGCGCCTGTAGTCCATCCGGAGCTCGTGCTGCAGCCTCTGTTTCTTCCTCTCATACTCCACACCGAGGGGGAGCCCCACACCATAACTGTCCTCTAAAAAACACAGCCATCAATATTTAATAAAGACACAAGGTGAAGAGTTTGGTGCCAAAACATGACAACTGAAACTATAAAAGAAACACAACACTGAAAAACATTGCACCCAGCAGGGGGTACTATAAATGTAAGTGGTATTTGTTCATTTTTTTATGACAGGAATGATCTAATACAACACTTAAGGAGTGAACTGTGGAACTGAACTGTACCTTTCCCCTGTGTTATAGACTTGGGAGGGATGTTCTCCTTAACAGTGAACCCATAGGCTCTGTGGGGTTTTGCCTGTCAGTCAAAAAATACAAGAATAATTGGCATTAAATGGTATTCAAACCAAAATCACATTTTGACAGTTTATTTATACAAATAAACTGTTAAAGTAAGAACCAAACGCTTTCTATCATTACAATGTAAATGTGTTGCAGGATATTATCCGTGTACACTTGCTTCTACATAAAAGGAAATGATTGAAGTTGACTTTTTATCTATTTTCATCATGTTTGACTCAGTGGATGAACCCTAGTATTATAATAATTCATATAATAATCTATGTTATATCAATTATGTGATATGAGGTCACTGAGGTCTTAGCTTTATTATGTCGTTATATGGAAAAAGTGCATTTTCATGGTTAGAAAGGCTGCATTACATTATAGCAATGTCACTTTTTCAACTTGAACCATTCTATTATTGGCCTTTAATCACTTAACCATTATATCCACATAATTAGAAAATGCATCAACATTTTCATTTTATAAAGCTCTCCACACAGCCCTTATTAGTGGTTATTTATCCAGAATACTGGCCTGGTTTTGATCCATATCAGATTATGCCATATTTCCCACACACCTTTATTTCCATGTAAGGAGGGTCTTGTTCCAAACTGGCTTTATCCTCAGCCACCCTCGCCCTTCTCTCCCTGATGAAGATCTCCAGCTCGTCATCCATCTCCTTTTGGCAGAGTCATACAACCCAACTGAAGACACAACATGTCACACAGGTCTGGCATCATATAAAACAGTGTATGAAGAAGTCAGACTGCACAATTTATCATTTTAACTAGCGAAGGTAACAGCTAATATTCAGGATTTTTTTCAGCTGTGTTCCATGCATAATGTATGTACAACACAGACCACAGCTGGTGATTTCACAAATTAGTTCCTCTAATCTGTAATTAGCCAAATCAATTTAATGACGTGCAAGCTCGAAACTAAATTATCCGTTGTGTACAGCCTTAAGGCAATTTCGTGTACATTATCTGTGGACATAATTAGGGCAATTCAATGTTGTTTTTAAAGTAAGTCGATAATGCTACTGTCACTTTAATTGTCCGTTGTCAGGCAACCACAATGAACAAGATAGTGTCATATCCCATACAGATAGCAATGAACCACTTAACGATATTAGCTTAGCGGCTATAATTAATACACTTCAAATATAGTAATTAGCTTTCAAAATAATGTTAACAGGTTGTATAGAATAATGCTTGCTTAGTTGGTGCAAAGTAACCTATTCAAAGCTTTACGTAAGCTAACGTGTTAGCCCTAACTGAAGAGAGGCAAACCTAAAGTAAAGCCAATAAGAACGACACAATAATGAGGAAAGCTAACCTGTGCTAATAACTAGCCATTCGCCCGGCTAGCGTTACTTCTAAGATATCTCTCAGTGGTAGTCTCGTCAACAACAAATAAAACCTACCATTGAGCGATGTTTGAATATGACGTTACCGGATAAGGCAAGGTTTGCTAACTAGCAACTGTTGGCGGCACCTTGGTTGTCCACTGAGCTCATAATATTTCTAGCACATTAATCATAAATGTGCACTACTTCCGGTTTTAAATGTCAAAATAAAAGCACATGCATTGTAATATCTCAGCTGATAACTATTCTGCAACGCTAGAAATATTTAGTGTCTGTAAGTGTCAAAGGACCATTCTATATTCCTGGGTTAAAGCAACAACAAACAAATCACAATGAATGTGTTCCGATATTTCCTCTTTATCTCATATTAACTTATTAAGAATAATGCGTATTGAACTGGGATCATTAGTGAGTTTATTTAAGGTAATTAGTTAGAAGCTCTATTTTATCAGTAGCCTATGTCTGCACAGCAGTTACAATGGTCAAATTACATTAAAACAGGATTGTCCCCATTTTTTCTTTAATAGTTACTAACATTAAATATTTTAATGAGATATGGACCGCAAAACAAAAGATGTGCCTGAATAACGAATTTAGCAGTGGACATAAAAGTCAACTGAGTGTCACTTACAATGACAGTGTTGTGTTTTTATTTTATGAACCTTTTACATTACAAACAAGTTAGAATTTTCAAAAGGTCTTATGTTTTTTTTCCGGGGGGGGGCTTTTTCCAGTTTAGAGCAATAGCCCCTCCAAATGTCTGTGCACGTCCCTGCCACTCAATCATTTGCCCTTTCAGGCTGGCAGTGTTTATCTTTTTAGCATATCATTTAACAGAACATGTCGAGAAAAGTTAGTGTGAGCAGATTTTAAAACAGCATTATTTAAAAAGGTAGTTAAAATCTGAAGCAGACCTATGTTAAATGGACATTTTCCTGATATGTTGTTCTGTAAAGCTCTAGTACCTTTATATATACAGTCTATGCTCTACAGCGCACTCTTTCACGACACATTTTGTGCTCTTACTTTGAAAGCATATGGCTACACTTCCTGTCTTTGACTCCAACTTGACATGTGGTGTCTCAGCTGTGTGGCATCGCATCATCGTTCACGCCCACTTTCCCTTTAGATTCCATCCACTCTTTAAGAACACATGTTGCATTCATGTCCTCGGAAAAAAGGTTGTTAAGGTAATGAAGGAAACATGTTTTATCCACAAGCAGGTGAAGGCAAGCTATACTGGTTTTGAATCATTGAAGTTCAAACACATTCAACTAAAATATATGAATGTCACAGAATACCTATAGAATTCCAAAAATACTGTAGTTAAAATGGTATTAATATATTTGCTTATGTTCATGTACACATTTCCTTTGTCAATTAAATTAGTTAAAATATAATATACACATATACACTTTATCATGTGCATAAACCTAATGCATGGAAATATTTATATAATTTTTTTGTTGAAAGCAGGGTACACTATATTGCGAGTAACTTTTATATTTATTTAATCTATAACTTGTAAAACGTAAAAAATGATCATATCGTGACACAATATATTACAATGTTTACAAGAGGGGGATTCAATTTAAATATGACTAATGCTTGGGATGGCCGTTTTTAAAAATAAATTAAAAACAACCATCCTTGCTCCCAAACCCAATCATTTTACTACATCATGACTAGATTCGATATTGTTTCAAATCTAATTCAAGCAAATCATATGCTTCCAAACCATTTCAAGAAATCAAAAATATCACATCCACTTTTTGTTTGCAATTTATTGCTTATATAAACGCATATATAAACTCTAAACAATTGTTGGTAAAAATAAAATCTATCAATAATAATCATAAATAAAATCATCACAATGACTTTTACAGGACATTATATTGCACAATTATAAGCCTTAACAAGAATCACAGAACACAAGTGTTGTTGTTGCTCAGGTTGTGTGTACGAGGAATGTTCCGTGGTCCGTGCTGCCTTCAAATGTCTTCCTGTATTTCATCAAAGTCTTTACTGTAGCTTCACAAACTGATGACCTCATGATCAAGTGTTCACAAATTGTTACTCTGTCTCGTAATCTATAGACCGCCATGATTAACACAGGAAAACATTTTTTGTTGTGGTACAGACCTGATGTTTCAGTGCTATTGAAAAAAAATATATTTACAATTTGATCTTGTGAGAATGTGGACTTTCAGGTACACATGTGATCTGGCTGCCTAAAGGACGAGTTGAGATCTGCACCACAACAAAGTCAAACCTCTTCCAGTCCTTTTCTTCATTTCACAGCAAAGTCACCAACAGTGTGTCAGTTCTGAGCGACGCTGCTGCTTCCTGTCGGAGGTCGGGCGTCTCCATGTCGTGCCTGCCGCGGCAGTTTGTGATTGGTCAGCTACAGAAAGGCCTAAAAGATCCTCAGTTTGTGGTTAGTGAGTGTTTGTGTTCACATGTTGTCCACCTCGGCGCTGAGTTCAGGGCATACTTCCTTCAGTAACATTTCCATCAACACCTAACGGAGACAGTGACACAAAATCACTTTGTTACAGGTGTCGTTACATATTATAAAATGAGTTTTATGCAATGATACTATAAATATTGATGTATGTGACATGCTCAAATCAAAATCAGTCACATTGACCCCGAAACACATTTTGAGTTTAAAATACTGTTCTAAAAAGGAGATGGATAGATCTCTAATTATGTCTTTATTGTTTTTGCTCTTCAAATATTAGGCAAAATATGTCACATAACGTCAGGACAGTTACCGAGATACGACTATGAGGAAAAGGCCTTCGAAGTTTCCAGTTTAAAAAAAATATTAGCCAAAGTTATTTTAAGAGGGGGCTCAAGGATGAGTACTTTTGGGGCATGGTACCTCATGCTCCCCCCTTAGGACCACCATTGAATTAGCTATGATTTACATCTGTCGCTAAGTTGCTCTCTTTGTCGCTAGTCGTCATGCCTTTACAACTTCAACGCAGTATTTATCATCTGAATAGAGTGCTTCACATATAAATATTATTCTTACATATAGAAGATGTTTGTTAGCATTAGCCTCCTGCAGGGCGTTGAAGATCTTGATGATTCCATAGCGGGCATTCTGCTGGCCAACTAAATTTGTCAGTGCATCTGTAACAAAAAAACATATTGACACAAGGTAAAAAGATTAGACATGTTCCTAAGTTTAGGATCTACTGTACATGTTTTTATATGTTTTCGTTGCTACCTGGGATATTGTCAAGTAGTTTCTGTTGAGCGCGCTCCTTGGTTTCACTGCGCTCTGTGTCAGTTCGGACCTTGACGTGCGGCGCTAACCTCCCGTTGGGCCAGAAGGTGTCCCTGAACACGCTGATGTACACTACCGACATCTGTTCACAGAAGATCCAGTTTACCGTGTCCCGGATCTGTCTGAGGGAGCGAAAAAGAGATGTTAACCTAATAGCTAATTGACGAAAATATAGAAAAAGTAGCAGTTGTCACAGGTAGGATGAACGACGCCATATTAAAACAGTTACCTGCAATATCTTTTTAGTAAAATAAGGTAACAGAAACATTGTGAATAAGTCAATACCGCAATAGGTAAATAATCATGACTTCTAAAAAAAAATTGGACTTATGAAAAAAAATCAAGTCCAAATTCCATCTTGCTAGCACTTACTTGTTGATAGTTCGTCCAAATGTCACCTGGACTAGTGCAATAAGAGTCTTCCTCACCCACTTAAACACTGAGCGGACACAAAGACGAGGAGAAAGACAGTGAGAAAAGGAAAGAGTTAGATCAATTCACTCAGATGGAATCACAATTCATATCTTTGTCCCAAAAAGAAAGGACTTACTGTAACAAATCGCACTTCAAACAAAAACAACAACAGGTGTAACCTCACTGTGTTATCCATATAGAAGCATTTCTAGTTTCTGTTTATAGGCCTGTTTTTTTGTATATTGACTTTAAAATGAAAAATACGACAGTGGTGTACTCACTTCCTCTGAGTTCAAAGATCTCTCCGATGAGCATGAAGCAGGGCTCAGCGAGGGCGTCCCTCCTCCCGTCAGCCTCATCCCCGTAGTCTGACAGATCGCTGTCATCGTCAACCTCCTCCTACACACACACACAAACACACACACACACACACACACACAAACACACACACCAAATGAGGGTGCGATACTGGCTTACTGTGGGAATGGTAAAGAGGATTGTATCAGGCTTTATAAATCGTAGGAAGAGTGCACATGCATCTTTCCATCTTCTGTATACACACAGTTTTAGTCATAAAACATGTTGATATTTATACATCAGGTGAAGATGATGGAGTACCTCAGTATGTGAGAAGAAGTCTCCAGGCAGCTTCTCCAGGAAGGAGGCCAGAGAGAAAGAGGATTTCTTCTGGATTGACATCACCTTTAAGCATGGAACAATATATCATCACAATTCAATTCACTGCATGGAATCATATTGAAACACTTTGTTACAACCTATTTCTAACATTAAAAAGTGCTCTATAAAGCAATGGAAGACCTTGTCTGGAAAATGGTGATGATTCGTTATCTTGTAACCTTTCTTGATATTGTGTCATCATGCATTTAGTTAGAAACAGCTAAATAAATAACAAACAGGACCGTACAGATATTTGAGGTGTTTTCTAATCATCTAGAACACGCTGGAAGGAGTTTTTAAGACTCCTTTCCAAGACTAAAACGGTTCTGAATCTAATTAAAATAATACATTCTAAATGATGGTATAACATATGACCATAATATATTAGTATCTCTGTCTTATTTGAAAGTGGAAAATGATAAAATTGTTACCTTGAGGTGCTCTGGGGACGGGCTGAGGAACGCATAGAGAGCCTCGGACTGGCACAATCGCTCATCTGCCAGCAGACGCTACACACACACACACACACACACACACACACACACACACACACACACACACACACACACACACACACACACACACACACACACACACACACACACACACACACACACACACACACACACCACACACACACACACACACACACACACACACACACACACACACACACACACACACACAACACACACACACACACACACACACACACACACACACACACCACACACACACACACACACACACACACACACACACACACACACACACACACACACACACACACACACACACACACACACACACCACCACAGAGCTCATTATCAACCATCCTAACGCACTAAACAACAAAGTTATCCTAGTGTAAAGTCAGTACTAAAATGACTGATAGCTGTACAGTGTGTGTTTGTTACCTGGAGAAAGGCATTGAGCTGGGTTTTGCTCTTGTCCAAGAACTTCTGGTCGATGGATTTGAAGGGAAGTTTACTGAGGGAGGGGAGCTGGAGTTTCTTCAATGATGGGAAACACTGAGGAAGACAGACACACACAGACAAATTCGGATTTTAAATTAGAGATAGCCTATGAGATTAATTTTTTAATGACCAATGGTTTAATTCTATATAACTGAAACGCATTTTCAAAAAATGTAGAACATTTATTGAGTTTAAGACTTCAGGCAATGGTAATGCAGGCACTGCAGGAGAACCATAAGGAAAGTAACAACTTCTATACTGATCATTTAGAAAACATTTCCATACTGGTGCTGAATAAAGGTGAACCACTGGACAGATCTTTAAAGGTTCCCTATTATACTGTTTTTCATCAATATATTATAGGTCTCAGATATATAAAACATGTCTCTGAAGTGTTTGTCTGAAACACCAAACAGATCATTGCAGCATCCCATAATCCCCTCTGTTTCAGCCCTGTTTCAGAAGTGCTGATTCTCTGTATGTTACTTTAGATGAAAATAATGATTTATAAGAGATTTTTGGTTAAAAAGAACACAATAGTGCTCTAGGAGGAGAGTCAGGTGATAAGGTGGGGGGGGGGGGTTACCTTGGTTGCTGGTTGGCTAATGGTTACACAAGCCAAAAAATCGTTATGACATCATAAAGTGGCCTAAATTTGATCAGCTCATTTTCAGACAGGTTTTTATATAAATGGATCAGGACAGAAAGTGAGTGAATCTTTTTTCCTGAAACTTTCAGAATCTCTTTACACAGAGGGGACACATGTTTAGGTATAAAAGACATGAAAAAGTGGATTTTGCATAATAGGTGACCTTTAAGTAAAAAATAAATGAGATATATTTATATATATATATATATATATATATATATATATATATATATATATTTTTTTTTAAACATAATAGGTGACCTTTAAGTAAAAAATAAATGAGATATATTTATATATATGTATATGTATATAAACTGCAGAGACACACTGTTGGGATTGCCCTACACTCATGAATATGAGTCTATGGCAAATATGATATATATATATATATATATATCTCATATTTGCCATAGACTCATATTCATGAGTGTAGGGCAATCCCAACAGTGTGTCTCTGCAGTTTGAGCGCTCCTTGAATGTGTCTCGTCTAAAACAATGTAGATGCCCGTTCATTAAACGCTTATGGGTACGGCCCCTTAGTGTTGTGTTACCTCGGTGAGTTTGCGGTGTAACATCTGGAACTCAGTAAGTTTCCGCTGAACGTTCCAGCGACTGTTAGCCATCTCCTCTGCTTCCACCAGGCTGACACACACACTGTAGGAAGCCACTGTCTCTCCACCCTCTTCTGCTGCAGCCTGAAACACACAAATGTCTAAATGACTACACAAAAACAGCATGACAAAACAATTGAATCCTTGTACAAGAATATACTGTATTTCCCTGTCCATAGTTGCTCCAGTGGACTGAAGGCACAGTTATAGATAGAATCGGAGGGATGAACCCCTCTTTAATGGTCACACATGCAGAGCACACAGCACACAGTGACATTTGGCCTCTGCATTCAACCCATCCTAGTACCAGGAGTCTAGTACTAGGATGTGCATATTAGTTAGCTTGTTACTTCCACACTAGTGGAACCAGCCATTTAATGTTTGTGAGGATGCAAGAAAACTAATATTTGTTTACCTCAGCAGTAGTGATGGTAGCCCTCCAGTGGCCCAGGTTTTCACACCACCAGTCCGTCCTGGAGATGTGCTGCTGCAGCTCACTGTGTTCTTTCTCCATGGCTCCGATCTCTTCCTTTAGTTTGCTCACAATCTGCACACACACACACACACACACACACACACACACACAACATAGATGTAACTAGCATGCTAATCATAGTTAAACAAAGAAGGGACTTAAATAAGAATAAACATGTAGTTTGGAGGATTGAGGAGGAACAATGCGGATTCCGTCCTGGTCGTGGAACGACGGACCAGCTTTTTACTCTCGCAAGCATCCTGGAGGGGGCCTGGGAGTACGCTTATCCGGTCTACATGTGTTTTGTAGATTTGGAGAAGGCGTATGACCGGGTTCCCAGGGAGTTACTGTGGGAGGTGCTGCAGGAGTATGGGGTGAGGGGGTCTCTTCTCAGGGCCATCCAATCTCTGTACTCCCAAAGCGAGAGCTGTGTCCGGGTCCTCGGCAGTAAGTCGGACCCATTTCTGGTGAGGGTTGGCCTCCGCCAGGGCTGCGCTTTGTCACCGATCCTGTTTGTAATACATGGATAGGATTTCGAGGCATAGTTGTGGGGGAGGGGGTCTGCAGTTCGGTGGACTAAGGATTGCACCACTGCTTTTTGCAGATGATGTGGTTCTAATGGCTTCGTCGGTCTGCGACCTTCAGCTCTCACTGGATCGGTTCGCAACAGAGTGTGAAGCGGCTGGGATGAGGATCAGCACCTCCAAATCTGAGGCCATGGTTCTGTCACGGAGGTGATCTCTGGGCCCATAGATCTCGGCCTCCGTTACGGGTTGTATAGCTTAATTGTTGGGGATTGTGTTCACCTGGTGCCCTGTGGTGGCTCCTCCCCCCTCACCTGTGTCTAATTGCTCCACCCTCACCTGTGTCTTGTTAGTCTGTGTGTGTATTTAGGTGCTGTTTTCTTGTTGTGCTGGGGGTGTGTGAGATCCTTGTGGTTGGTGATGGTGTTCACATGAACAGCGAGATTGAGGCTGTGTCATGTGCCCGTGAGTAATAAATGCCCACACCGGGTTGTATTTTGGACGTTCTGCCTCTGCCTCCTTGCTTGGTCGGGCCGCTCAACGGTCAGTCTCACAGGTTCTCAGCAGGAAACCGATGGACTGTCCACTCCAAGTAGGGAATGAGTCCTTACCCCAAGTAAAGGAGTTCAAGTATCTCGGGGTCTTGTTCTCGAGTGAGGGAACAATGGAGCGTGAGATGGGCCGGAGAATCGGAGCAGCGGGAGCGGTACTGCAGTCGCTTTACCGCACCTAGGACCAGGTGGAGGGATTATATCTCTTCGCTGGCCTGGGAGCGCCTTGGGATCCCCCAGTCAGAGCTGGTTGATGTGGCCAGGGAAAGGAACGTTTGGGGCTCTCTGCTGGAACTGCTACCCCCGCGACCCGACCACGGATAAGCGGGAGAAGATGGATGGATGGATGGATGTAGTTTGGGTTTGTGATGTTTTAAAACTTCCTCAAAAGTGTCATGAAATTGTTACCGAAGCCCTGAGAGGCAAAAAGCGGGAAAGTAAAAGATAATGTGTTTGTGTAATACTCATTTTGGCCAAAAGGGGGCAACACTACACTATGTACAAAATACTGAAAGCATTGATGTTTTCTTACTTACTTCTTATTTATGCTCCTTTTTATTCAGTCTAAAATGCAAAAACTGTCACGAAAAGCAAATTCCCCCTGGGATTATAAAAGTATTTCTCATTCTGACTGTTTAGAGTGCCAAAGTTAAGCAACTTTGTTCAAAATAGAATATTTTATACTATTTTACTTTGTTTTACCTTTTATTGGAATTGTAACTTTGTTTTTGTATGTTTATATAAATATATGTATTCTTTTTGTTTACATTTTTATTGCACATTTTTACATTAACTTCTTATGTCTTTCTGTCTCAAAACTAAATCTCCTCTGAGATAAAACTAATAATCTGTTGTTGAGAAATGAAACTTGGAAAATTCCACATTTAAAAAGGTTTAATAGAAGACTATTTCAGCTCAACATCTTACACTACATACACCATGCTCGAGAAGTCTGGATGAACTTTTATCCTGAGTGTCTTTTAAGCCACTCTGCTGAAGTGAATTGTGATTTTAGCCCTTTATTTGTCACCTTTTTGTCTGGTTTGGGAGCGTTCTGGATGGAGCCCAGGGCCTGGCGCTTGTACTCCAGTTTGTCGTAGAGTTGTCGGAGCTTGGTCGCAGCATAACTGGCCTGCTCGTTGATTCTTTTACTGCCTTCATCCCCCACCTCCTCTCCTGACTCCAGACCTTGGCACTGCAGCAAAAAAGAAATATATTTATTAAAAGCTTTACACACTCAAAAATGATACACCAGGGTTTATTAAAAGATGAATAGTTCTGACGAAACAGTGTGTGACTGACCTCTTCCTCCTTCTCCTCAATGCTGCACTGTGATTGGCTGTTCTGCTCTTCTCGTCTGATCAGTTTATCGTAGTGGTCAGAAACCAGGAAGGAGGGGTAGTAGCGCTCTCTCATCGTCTCTGCCACCTGCAGGAGGCATCAGAGCAACAGAAGTAATTCATCTTCAATGTTTAACAATTGTTGCTATGTCTCAATTCAGATACTCCACTTAGTAGATTGCATGTCGTGCACTGTGAAAATGTTTTAGTGTGTTAATTTTGATCATGGTCTCAAATCAAACATAGCTGCTGTGTCCTCAACAGAATTGACGATGGACGAGGACAGATCGACTAACTAGCTAGCCAACGCTTACAACCAACTAGCTTATAACTAGGAAGCTAACAACTAGCTAGCAAACGCTAACAACGCTCTTGTTTGAAGTATTAGGGATACCCAATCTGGACTAAATTACCAACTGGATATTGTTTAGTGACATTGCAATAACGATATGATTCCTGATATTAGAGGGGATTATCTTTTTTGGAGGTTCTGTACCAAACATGGATATTTTATTCTGTCTGTAGAATACAATTTGTAGGCCAGGACTTATCGGAAGCATCACAATACTCCATTCAGAAAAATATTTTCACATATTTTGCCAAATTGGGTTGTTTACTGTGATTTGGAGAATGCACTATATATTGCAATTTCATTAACATTTCAATTGTTTTTGCAGCCCTACAAGGATCCATCATTATAGTCTGTTTATTTTACCCAATAAAATTAATAATGGCTTCCTTTGGACACCAAGTGGTATGTTACATAAATAATGAAAAAAACATATACATGTATAACTTGTATTTGCATAGTGCTGTGTGGCTAGTTCCCCTACTTTTGTTACGTAACCAAGATGGCAATCAGTAACGGTTAGAAGTGTCCAGCCTTCCAAACTCAACTTGTTGACCATTGTGAGTGCACCATCCAGGACTCGTGGAGCATTTTGCAGTACATTGGCATGCACTTCTTCAGAAAACAGTACATTTATGTACAGAAGTATGCAAATTTGAGACACAGCTTTTCACATTGTGAAGATTATTGTAGTTACTCTGACCTTTAATGAGAGGCTATTTGTTACAGTTAATGAGTAGCAGAAGCAGCCGTTACCTGTTCTTGGAGTCGGACAAACACTTGTGTTCCTCTGTTCCCCACCAGACTCTGTTGGATCTCCTTTAGGAGGAACTTCTCCACTGGGATCTCTCTGCTCTCCACAAAGAACTTTTGGTAGATTTCCCCGACGATTTGGGGCACTTCATTCTGTCACAAACACACGCGCACAGTTATTACTGTCAATTTTTTTACATTTAAAGATTCTATTGGGTTTGTGAATGACTGTTGTCATATTTTATCACGTCATCAACCTCAGAAAATGAATCCTCAATTTAAATAAATGAAATCATCTAATTATATAGTTTAGTCTTTTCCTTATTAAATCAACTTTCTCAATGGATATAACTCAGCAGCACAAGCCTCCCTCTGTGTGCTGCTGAGTGGGACAGCAAACATCTTCTGACCACAGTGAACCTTTGTGAAAGGCTCAACACAAACACAAATGGATTGAAGCAGAATATTCTGTCGTGAATCATGAAAATGATAACATCTATTTTTATTTAAATAGATGCTGACATTTGGATGCTTTTGGGTTATTGGAAATGTCTGGATGATCCAAGTTTCAAACCATCACACTGGAATCTAATTCTACAGGCAGTATCATATCAATAACACCAGTGAAGCCTGATCTTAAGGCCCTGACACACCAAACTGACACCAAAGAACACGTCCTGACGGACCCGATTGTTGTCGCCTGACGTCTCCTGTGTCTTGGCAAAAAAATCGCACTGGAACACACCGCAAAGACTTGAGCCGACAGCCAAGTAGCACGTACGCACTGCGAATGCGTGAGTGGCAATAACTCTCCTTACCAGCAGGCGGCGATAGTGTGTATTCGTCATTCAAAAGAGGCAACCGGAAGACAGACTGCGTGATATATACAAACAACAAATAGCGTGCGTTCCATTTTCACTCTTGTCCATCACAGACCGTTTCACAGACTGTTTCACATAACGACTTATAATCGAAAACATGTTTAGTGCGGTACTGGAAAATGAAAAATAATAGCCGTCTGTGTGTGCCTTCTTCACTTCCGTTTCGCTTCTCATGCACTGATTCGCTAAGCTGAACAGCCAATCAGAGTGATTTCTTTTGCCGACAGCCTCCCGATTCAACATGTTGAATCGGGAGCGGAAGGTGTCGGCATGGCCGAAAAGACACGACGTGCTGGACACACCAATCTGAGTAGGGCGACAGGACGCTCATCGACGGCCAGACATCTATCGACAGCCTTTAGTCTGACAGTGGCAGAAACAAAGGCTTTAGACATTGGCATGAAAACAATTTATGGTCACCATTCAAATGTGGATTTAGAATCCAAGAAGGGTCATTCCAAACTAACTAGTGGATGTGGGTTATTAAAGAGGACATACAATGTTCATTCAGGTTCATATTTGTATTTAGCTCCTCTACTGTGACATGTCTCCATGCTTTAATGTTCAAAAAGCTCTTTATTTTTCTCATACTGCCTGTGCTGCAGCACCTCTTTTCACCCTCTGTCTGTGTCTGTGGGAGAAAAACTCACTCTGGAGGACACACAGGGATTTTAGCCTTTGCAGACCATTTACATGCACAAAAACCTATATCACATAAAATGTGCTAACCAAAGCGTGTTGGAATTAAACAATGAGTCAAATAGAGGCGTTTCAGGCAGTGGGGGAGCGTTGGGAGAGAAACTTTGGGATTTTAGCCTTTGCAGACCATTCACATGCACAAAAATCTATATAGCTCACTACTGTACAGGAAAGGGAACAACCCAAAAGCATAATAGGACCCCTTTAACCTGTTAAGCCCCGAGCCTGTTTTTCAGGTCTCAGGCTCGAAAATGACATTCCCAGAACAAATTACTATAACTTCACTTCTAAAAAGGGGTAAATTAATAATCTTTTTTCTCAAAGCAATGATAAACCTGTGAGTTGGATGTAGAAGAGTCAGAATCAATATAGATTTTTTTTATTTTAAAGTAAATTCAGATTGAACATAGTAAAAAAATGTAAGTTATAGTTTCCGTCCAAAGAAAAAACATTACTTATAGTGAAAACCACCCTTGAATGATGGGATACTAAAAGCTTTAGGAATCCAAACTATAACATAATAAGTACCCTGTATCAAGATTGATGCAGAACAAGTGACATTTGACCTTTTTAGAGAGGTTTAGCAAAAAAGAAACATGTCTGGGGTCATTTGGGTGTATTTGCCATATATCTGGCCCCCCTCGGTCGATTTTGATGATTGACACCTCTTTAGAACCGTTAGAGCCAATAGAATCGAGGGGAAGTTCCTAAAATCCATCTAAACATTACCCATTGGTGAATGAGTGATGCGCAACCAGAATGCCCAAAACCGGAAGCTGGGTTGTAGCTCTCACACACTCTATATCAGGGGTGTCAAACTCAAGGCCCGGCGGCCAAATCATTTTCTGTGGCCCCACAAGAGCTTGCAAAGAATATAATACGTTTATTATGCGGTTACAGGCCGATTTACAGAAGCACGTTGCCCATAAACTACATGTCCCACAATGCATCTCAAATGTTATGTTTTTCTCAGAATTTGACTTTTTTTTCTTCAAAATATGCCTATTTTCTTAGTAGTTGAATTTTTCTCAGAATTTGACTTTTTTTTCAAAATGTCACTTCCTTTTTGTTTTCAGAATTTGGCTTTTCTTTTTAAATCATTTTGTGACATTCTCACTGAAAAGACTTGCAATTATTTGCCCTAGACTTCTTTCAGACGTAGTTAATTATGAAGTTATTACCCTATCCGAAAATAATCCAATGCAGAGGCAATAATGTAATATAATACGTTATTTTATATATGTATTTTTATATAGTCTTAAAGTTACAACCGGCCCTTTGAATGCAACCATAATGTTAATGTGGCCCGTGATGAAATTGAGTTTGACACCCCTGCTCTATGAAATCTCAGTTTTTGACAAAAATGTTATGATGGATTATCAGTAATCATTTCAAAGTGACACAGACAAATTGGATTAACCTTCAGCAGCGTTGTTATCGTTTTAATGCCATTGAACACAACTTTTGATCAGAAAACAGCAAAGGTAAGACGTATTTGCCGTTTTGGCTCCGTAAAGCCACGTTGTGTGTTGTCTGGTTTTGCCTTCGCTGCCCTGAGTTCTGGTCGCACAGTGATGATACTTATGATATATACCTCTGGAATCTGTGGAATCTCAGCTTTCATTTGATATCTTGTTTGTGCAGATCCAATAAGTAATACAATATTTCTACCGTGAGTTCTGTGCTAAGTGCTTTAGCATTCTTTGGCTTAGTGCTAATTCAGAGGCTTGGTATTACCCTTGTGTTTCGTTTAGCTAAAAATTGTTCATATCGTCAGATAGCAGAGTTTCTTCCCGTTAAGTGGGTATGATACATTAATAGGTTGTTAAATGTTAAGAAGCCCTGAGACACAGTTTCGTGAAAAAAAAGCCAGCAGCCCCCGCCGGGCTTAACAGGTTAAAGAAAGAGCCTCATTCAGCTCAGAGTTATACTACAGACGCAGTTCACTGTGGGAGATGTAGGGGTTGGTTTGGAATAAGGCCAACGTGTGTTCTGATAAAGCGACAACAGCAACAATGTTTTGCAATGTTGTTTGAAAGCTACACCCAGATGTCAGCACTGTTACAGCACACAGTAGAAAAGCATTGTACCTCATCACTAATACCCTGATGACGTGTCATTTCAGCAGCTTTGAGCTAAAGCCTCCACAGTTACCTTGTTGGCAGTTTTCAGAGTTTCCACCAGTTCCCAGAAGCTGATCAGAGCTCTCTTATCAACCCGCTCCATGTACAGTCTGAAATGCTCCCTGTAACCCGGGTTACACAGGATGTCATCGAACTGGAGAATCTGAATGTGGGGAGAAGAAGAAATGACAAACATCAGCCATGACACTGGATTTATGTTATCTGCACATTTGCTATACTATACTATTTATATACATATTTGTTGTTATATATCGTACAATGTGTAAATCTTCAATTTAAGTTCTTATGTTTATATAATATTGTTATTTTATTTAATTGGACATTTATACTTGTTTTTTTACTTATACTTTTAAATATTTTATTCCAAATGGAGTGCCTGTCACAAAAAAACATTTCCCCTGTGATAAATAAAGTATAATGATTCTGTGGGGACCATTTTTATGCAAAAAATCAAATTCAACCTTTTGAACACCTGACAGAACGTTCTAAAACGTTTTCTAAGACCACTGTCTCCACCTTTATTGGTCTTACCTTCTGACTTTGCGGATCGTCGCTGTCCTCGGCCCCTCCTTCTTCACTGTTCTCATAGTTTGGTCCACCGAGAAGGCGGATCCTTTTCTCACATTGTTTCTTAGCAACAGTCAGGTGATTGATGTATCGTTTCATATCTCTGGCCCGCAGAAGGTCTGCCTTCATGGCGGCCGACTCTTTACCTTTACGATCTACGGGAAGAGGGACAGCAGTGGGTGAAAAAGGTAGTTTTGGTCACACAACAATACACAAAAACACTATTTCCTAGTATGGAGCCACTGATTCATTAAGAGAAAGAAAGTTGCTAATCTTGTTTTAATAATAGGCCATTTCAGGCAAACATAGTGAAAGAAAAGTTCCTTACATGTTGATTTGCATATATTTAATTATACTTTAAATAAATACCTAATTATTGTAGCCCAACATGGCTGATTACACACTGCTTTGATACTAACTTGGAATAATCATTTATTTTATGTTTATTTTGTTCCATTCTATATTCAATATTTGTATACATGTTCTATGTGTGTGTCTCATAAACGGGCTAAAACTTGTTTTTTTGTGTGCAACCCTGTGTTGTATGTTGACACATGTTATCACCTTTAGGTAACCAGTTTAAGTGGATTGGAATCATTCTGAGTATTTTTTTATGTATTTATTTAAACAAGGACCATGCAGACAAGCACATTAATCTTAGAAAAGAAAAGAGAGATTTTAGCTAATAGCTCATTTCCAGTCATCCTTTTGTCAACTGCATGAAGGAAAAAAGTTATATCAAATACATACAACAATAACTTTTGCAAGTAACAAAATTACTGCAACATGTTGAAACAATTGTACCCAGAAAATCATTGTGAAATCCAGCGTAAGCAAAAAAGGTAACACTCTAGTTGACATGATTTGACTTAATATCACAAACTCACCATCTGCATTACCACTTTTCCCAATCGCCATAATGCAGGTCCACACATTCCGTCAAATTTGTTTTTATAGATCAAAACTTTTCCGTTAGAAGTAACATAAAAATGAGATCCCAGCTTTAAACATGGCAAGTACAAAGGTTGATTAATCACTATAATTAATACTATCCATCGTGGTGCTGTGGAACTGAACATGATTTTTTTTTAAATTAAGAATCCTAAAATTCAAGCTTTGTTTTGTGTAATGATTTGTTTGGCCTTTTTGTCACATGAAGTATAGTGTTTCTGTACCTTTCTGCTTCTTGAGTTGTGGGAGGCTGCTGATGGTGGTGGCATGAATAATCTCTACCACTATCTGATACCTGTAAACAGAGAGAGAGACAATTTACATCAAGTTTTTGGAATCAACCCTCAAGTATGAATGGGCTGTTTGGGCCCAGCTAGCAGGGAACTTTCTCACAACTTTGGCTAACGTTACCTACAGGTTCTAATAATGTTTTAAAGAAAACGTTTAATCTGATGTTCAAAGAACCTTTTTTGGATGTTTATCATTTTAAATAATATTCCTATAAGGTTTAAGGTTAACTAAGACATAACATTTTAACTGCAACATTCAGAGGATGTTTTGAGGATGTTATTAAGGCCTGAGATGACAGAACGTTTTTTATAAAACGTTCCTTTAATGTGATATGTTAACAAAGGTGGAACGTTTTGCCTGCAACATTCTGAGGATGTTTTTTGGACGTTGTTGGGGTAACATATTATACATGTTCTTTTATAAAACATTCCCTCAATGTTACATGGTAACAAAAGAGCATTTTCAAAGCAACATTCAGAAAATGTTTTCAGGAGGTTATTGAGGCCTGAGATGACAGAACGTTTTTTATAGGTTTTCAGTTCCTGTGATGCGAAATATTAACACAGTCATCGTCAGATTTATTTGTAGAGCGCTTTCATGATAACCTTCTTAAGATGTGTTTGATAACATTGTTAGAACATTATGCCCTACTATTCTTAAAACGTTTTCAGCGGGACATTTTATTTTGGTTCCCAGAATGTTCTTCTGAAAGGTAGGATAACGTTCTCTAAAAACATTCTTAAAATGTTTGGTGATACATTTCTTAAGATGTTTTTGATAACCTTCTTAAGATGTTTTTAATAACATTGTTAGAACATTATGCCCTACTATTCTTAAAACGTTTTCAGCGGGATGTTTTATTTTGGTTCCCAGAATGTTCTTCTGAAAGGTAGGATAACGTTCTCTAAAAACATTCTTAAAATGTTTGGTGATGACCTTCTTCAAATGTTTTTGATAACATTGTTCGAAAATTATACCCTACTATTCTTAAAATGTTTTTGTTGTTTATGCACATGTCTCTATTGCCATATTGATAGAATAACACTTAGACATTTTGTATTTATTTAGTTTATTTTTATCATGACAAATTAACGTTGGTACTCTCCTCCGGCAGCCGAGTTGGTGCATTTGCATAATGGCCGTATGAGCGCATTGAGACAATGAATAGGACGTATAAAAACAAATTTGCATGCCAATATTCACTCACATGCACTTATAATCACACTAAGGTATGTAGGCACACAGTATTCATAATATTATATATGTAAAATATCAGAAAATAGTCACACTTTTTCTGACTATAAAGGTTGTGTCTCGTATGTAGGTTCTAACTGTTGGATAAGCTATCTGGCCGTGTGTGGTTTGTGAGGGCTGCGTATAAACAGTGTCCGCTGTTTATGCATTGTGGATAAAAATCGTTATTGCACCCTTTAGATTTGAGACCGACAGACATATAGAAGAATGGATCGACTGTCACTGCCCGTCCCTGAAACCCCTGTTAGTGTTTGTATGTGTTTGTTTCTACTGTATGTCGCTCTAGCTTTTTGACAGCAGATTTTTTGACAACTGTGCCTGCTTTTGCCTCACATTCATTTTTGTATCTCTCCCAGGAGGAATCCAAGGCCTGCCACACTCCCAAGACCAGCCAGGCCTCTCTACCCACCCTGGAACAACTGTTTCCCACTGCCGCCATAACCAACCTCCACTCCCAGCTCCCCTTTTCTAATAAACAAATGTTACGCTCACCAGCTGATTCCGAGTCTGATTCTGGGATGAATCAGAACGATAAAGCACGTTATCCTACTCTAAAATAATAACATTCTGGCAACATAAAAAAAAATCTAACTTGCAGCTGAAAACGTTTAAGAATAGTAGGGCATAATGTTCTAACAAAAAGGTTAAAAAAGGTTATTACCAAGCATTTTAAGAATGTATTTAGAGAACGTTATCCTACCTTTCAGAAGAACATTCTGGTAACCAAAAGAAAACTTATATATATATACACACACACACACACACACATATATATATATATATATATATATATATATATATATATATATATATATATATATATATATATATATATATATATATATATATATATATATATATATATATATATTATATATATATATATATATATATATATATATATATATATATATATATATGCATCTAGTTTACAATATACACAGTATGACATGTTACAATGGTAAAACAAGCATTCATTGTCATTCTAAAACTTGCACATATATCAGAGTATCTCAATATTGGTGGGAACCCAGAGTAAATGAAATAGATCAGCAACAATTCAGTATTGAGCAATCACTTTTCAAACTAACAAACAGTACAGCAGTATCATGTCCTTCCTACATTTAGATCTAAAATATCGCCACAGAGACACCGTCTGTTGCCATGGTTACCCCACAGCACTGTCTGGTTAACAAGTATATTTGTGCATATATACAGTATGGTACATTAAGGAGTGCAGGACAGTCTCTGTGTGTGGGTGCGTGTGTGTGTGTGTGTGTGTGCGTGCGTGTGTGCGTGTGCATGTGTGTGTGTGTGCTGCATGCCTGAGTTGTTTGAGGAAATTGACATCAGCAGACGTTGATATCAGCTTGATGAAGTCTTCGTAGGAGGCAGCGTAGGTGTAGGCTTTCTTCTGCTGCTCCGCCTGCTGCTCCCTCTGCTCCAGCTGAGACAGCAGCATCCTGTTGATGGAGTCCGGGTCGCTGAGCACCTCCACCAAAGGCTTCAACACTGAGAAACACACAGGAAGAAGGTGTATAAAAAAAACAAGATACTGCAGTTAATCAAGTCTGAATTACTGACAACTTCTGAGAACTGCTGTTAAGTTACAACGTGAAAAAACATACATAGTCATATAATCAGGTTCTATTTTGGTTTTCCCTCTCTTGTAGAGTGTGATATAGGTTTTTGTAACGCCTCCATTGGACTACTTTGTTTACTTCCTTAACATAATGACGTCACTACGTAACACTCGCTCTTCTATTGGCTAGCACTCCAACACATTGTTTGTGATAGGCTAAGGGGCGGGACTGGGCTCTGGTTTCAGACAGAGGGTGAAAAGAGGTGCTGCAGCACAGGCAGTATGTGAAAAATAAAGAGCTTTTTGAACATGAAACCATGGAAACATGTCCCAGTAGAGGCACAAAATACAAATATGAACCTGAAAATGAACGTAATATGTCCACCTCCTTTAAACTTGTCTTATTTTCCCACCTACACTGAAACATATTTGTGTATAGTATGAAAAATAATAGTGAAAGCTCACATCCTTGTGGGTAAGCAGTGTAGACACTTACTTGGTCAGACAGAATTACACATACTGTCACTTTTGTGTCCTTTTTGTTACCCAAATCAAGAATCCAGCCAATAGGATTAGAAGTCTAGCATGAGACTAATTTTAAAAAGTAAGTCAGTTAAAGTGACTGTGGCATCCTCTACTCTTCCTCCTCAAAGCAAACTGCATGGGATCAGTAACATGCACGGTTTTCTTCAAGATTTCTAGTTTTTCCGTTGTTATTAACAAAGTATATGCCGTACTTGCACACACACTCCCAATACCTTTAGTAGTGATGACTTCTGTGAGGCAGCAGCGTAGTGTGTGGGACTTGGCATCCTTCTGTGGCAGCAGACACAGCAGCAGGATTCTGGCTACACAGCGGAGGAAGGCCAGCTCAGAGTCCGGACTCACCAAGCAGGGGTGGAGAGGGAACGGCCGAGTGCACTCCTCCGGTCTGGATACACACACATGGGAGAGACACACACACGCATTCAAATGGAGATACAAGCAGAAAGAGACAGAGCTGTATTCTGGCAGATAACACTGCTACTGTTATTCATATTCAGTGGTGTGACATCTCACTGTGAGTGCTAATAAAACTGAACAGGACACACTCTGTACTTAAGTAGAATTCTTAAGAGGTACTTGAGTATTTCCATTTCATGCCACTTCATACTTCTAGTTATCTGCACCTCTGAAGAAATTATTTTTTACTCTACTTCATGTTTTTGGCAGCTTTAGACTTAAAAGTCATTTTTAAGATTGAGATCATACACAAAGCATTATTTGCACGCTTTTAAATGTATCACATTGTTAAAGATGAAACCAGTAGTTAAAAAAAATGTTTTACTTCTGATGTACTACAAAAACCCAATAAGATGGGATCACATCTCAGATGTCTTTGAGTTCTACAAAGTGAAGATTTTTTCCTCTAAACTTGATGAAATATCTCACAAAAAATCCAAGATTAAAGGAAAAAGTCTGAAAACGTTGATCTAATGTAGTTATATATAATCATATAACAGTCAGAGGGACCAAACCCATAGATTTTCTTTAATACTTAAAATACATTAGCTGATATGAAGTCAGTCCTCTTGGAAATATTTGATCACATTTTTTTAATCACACGTTAGACTTAGAGTAAATACTTGAATGAAAATGTGTCCTTCAGGACAGAATGTGGAGCACCGGAGGCGGACCGCATACACATATTTTGGAAATGTCCAAAATGTTATATAAAGTTCTGGAGATTAATACATTGGGTTTCGCAAAGGATACTAGGATTTGATGTGCATATGAATTAAATCTACTCTAATACTCCATCTGGGTAATTTTACAGAAAAAATACCCTAATTAGGAAAATATATCTTGTCAAAATGTTAAAAGCTGGAAAAAAATCTATCACTAGGAAATGGTGCAAGGTAAGGACATTCATATAATGTCAAAACTGACACATCACAGAGAAAAATCACAGTTTGAAGAAACATTTGAGAAATGGTTAATTTTGAGGCGAAAAGGAATACCAATTACATCTGATTTAGTAAGAGGAACTATTATAACACACACATTATGAGAATGTGTCTCCTAAATGCATCTTGTTTTTTCTGTTGGTATAAATATGGTATTTGTATGAATGGCTGCATTGTACAATGCTGTTTTGACATGCTGCTACTACTATTTTTTATTCAGGACTTTTACATGTAATAATAGTATTTTTACATGTAGTTGTCACATTGGTAATTTAATTTAAAGTGGACCTATCATGCTATATTTGAAAAATATATTGTAGGGCCATACCTATATAAAACATGTCTGTGAAGTTTTTTTTTCAAAATACCAAACAGATCATGCATTTTAGCCATGCCTCATTTCGCTCTATTTGCTCTTTTCCAGCCCTGTTTTTGCAAGGGCTGATTCTGTGTCGTAGCTTTAATGCAAATGAGCTGCAGCTGACCACGCCCCCCTGCAGGAGAGGGAGATCAGCTGCTGGGCTCTCCGTCCTCTGTGTATTATTCTTATATTATTATATAGAGTCGTTATTCATTTGTTTTAAAGCTCAATAAATAACAAAGAAGACCTTTGACCGGCACTTTTCTAATTTTGTCCGGAAGATTTAAACTTTAACGGACATGTTGACCGGCGAAAAAAAATCTAGTTCATAAACATGTCCGTGGTAAAATGTTTAGAACACACAAGCAGAAATCTGCCGGAGTCTTCTGGCACATGTCCCTTGAAAATGAAGTCCAGCCACAGATTATTGTCTTTTTCCAGGGATGGCATTGCATGCAGTCCCTTGTCCCGATTCTTGCAGCCAACAACAGCACAACGTTTAACTCCCTTAGACATCCTGGCAAGAGCAGGCAAAAACACAGATGTGACTGGGGGAGATTTAGCTTTCCGACAGCCTATGAGTTGCCCATATAGGCGGAGTTCCCCGTTTCTGACGTCAGAACAATTTCAAATCTGTATCAGCTCCGTTGCAGCCCCGTTTTTAGAGATTTGGGTATGGAGGAAAAGAGAGAGGGTTGTGTTTTCTGACACTTGGTGAGTTCCCTGACACACCGGGGACACATATTCATGTATAAAAGACGTATAAAAGTGCATTTTGCATGATAGGTCCCCTTTAAGTAAAGGTTCTGAATACATTTGCAACACTGAGCCAAAATGCTTAGTTGGCCTTTGTTTATTGTTTTTATTATCAATATTCTTTACACAGCTGGCCTTCGTGTTTGACAACTTCCTGTAATCGTCACCTCAGTGTGGTTTATGGTATCTAGGGCACCTGTAAGTCGGGGTTTGTGGGTAATTTTGCTCAGATATTACTGTTGGCTGTACGGTCCCGCTTTAGTTTATCGTTTGTTTTATTCTCTTTATTAAACATTGTAGAACTCTAGCTTCAGTATGGACTCTTGGCGTCAAAATGATGAGCCAAACACAGCCTCTGAGCCAATATATTCATTGGGAGTTTAATCGCTACACTACTGCTACATTGTTCCTAAAGTATTAAAGCCGAGGGAGGCCAGACATCTCTATCTCTAGAGTGTGATCAAATCACAAGTCTCGCCGCTCTCGCCAGGATAATGAAAGCAGAGTGTGTGAATCATCACAGTCTCTGAGTGTACCTGGCAGCTGCTGTCTGGAGAAAAAAGGGAGGCAAACCATTTTGATGTTATTTACACAGTGACAGTACTGAACTGCCATCATTTTACCCTCTCTGCACACATAAGAACGTCTCTTTGATTATACATAACCTATTTTACAATGTTTACACTGATGAAATGAATGCTATTTTTTTGTAATACATGAACCGTCTCCAATTAAATAACTGTAGGATATATTTTAAATACTGTCGGTTTAGTGTGTGGGCCCGTTTCACAGAGCTTCTTATTAATACTTATTCCCCACTCTATGTATTGTAATACAAAATGTTATCAATGTTAGCACAATGTGCACATTCTTACTTTAACTTCTTGTGTTTTTATTTTATATTTTATTACACATTTTACTATAATTTATTTTGTTATGTTATACTATATTTGTATTTGTAATGTTCAAATTGCACAGTTTTACATTATATTCTTATGTTTGTATACATTTATTAAAGATATTTTTTTATTACGATAGAACTTGTATTTTTAACTTTGAATAGACTGAAGTGATTGATTGGTTGGTTGGTTGATTGGTTGGTTGGTTGGTTGGTTGGTCGGTCGGTCGGTTGGTTGATTATGGTTTTTCTTTACATTTAAATAAAAAACCACGCTGACATTAAACAGTGACTCAGCAGTGAGTCAGAAGTGTAAAAGACTTGGGTTTACTTGATGAACACCTTGCAACACCGAAGCAGTAACTAATGTTGCATACCCTAACTCAGACCCCAACTCTTTACAATTGTACGTGTGTTTGTACCTTGCAGATGCAGCCTTGAGGTCAGTGAAGTGTGTGTGCAGGATTCGGATGGTGTCGTAACACACCACATTGACGACGTCGATGTCAGCCAGCCGGGTTCTCAACTGACCAATCATCTGCCACCAGTCCTCCGACAGCATGGAGTATAACTGGCCCTCATCGTGACTCAGAGGGATGTACCAGGACAGGATGTAGTCTCTGTAGGCAAAGTCAAACACTGCGGAGAGACAGAGGGAGAGAGAAATAGAATAGAATTTTGTGTGTTTTGTAATTAGTGCTTTACCGAAGGTGTTGTTGTTTTTCCTTCAAAGCCTCTATTGAGGTTTTTGAAAGAAGCTTTGCATGTGCTTTTTTACGACATCCTCCCAGTAATACAAATATAAACTAAACAAAGCAATTGGTCCGATTTAATGACTAAATTCAATTTTATTCATTCAACTTTCCATAATGGATATAACTCTGTTGTGTGTGCCTCCCTTTGTGTGTGGAAAAGCAAACATTTTTGACAGCAGTGGAAAGTTGTTTTAAAAAAAAAAGGATGACTGGCAACAAATGTGGAGTGAAGCAGATTGTGTGTTAGATAGAAACGTGTTTAATTTTGGAAATTATTTCTTCTATCTTTGTTCAATACATTTTGACTTTCAGACTTTAGAAAGCTACGGAGGTATTCTAAATGTTTATATCACATTGGGAAACAATTCTACACAGCCACCACTGGAATCTAATTCTACAAATAGATTATTAGTGATCATATTAGTGTAGTCTGATGTTTATCTGCAACTATGGAAAGATTAGGGTTGTCCTCGAATAAAGTCTACCTCAACTAACAATCATAAAGACCAATGTATTAAATGATCGTGAGGATGATGATTATGCATTTCCTGATGAAAAAACAAACCGATTGTTTTTGTAGTTGAAGCTTTGTAAACGCCAACGTGGATTAAACAACATTATTTTGTTAAATAAAAACATGGTGATGTTTTGTAAATGATTACATGTCTCTTATTTAGCACAGAATATGATCCTATCCATGACATATGGATCTTAACAAAGATCCGCTATAGTAATCAGAGATAGATCTATCAGCTGTTTATTTCACATGAGTTCCAGTGTGGCAGCTTTTTAATCAATGCTCCCCCTGGTGGATCCATGATCCATTGCAGCTGGTTTCATTATAATTTATCAAGGGGGCGTATCAAGTCTGAAAGGTATTCACTAACTACGTCATGCGGGGGTTTTTCCTTTCAGCGAGGATCGACTCTGTGCCGATCACGGCCCCACTGCGGTAGGGACGCGCAAAATTAGGTGCTACATCTGTATTTTTTTTTAATAACATGTTCTTGCCTCTTTTTTTTTTTTTTTTTAAATGGCAATCTACCCAACTATTTTCCTTTTATCTGCACTGTCCTTTTGCTGTAACAACAAACCATTTCAGATTGTGACCATACATTGATGATGTAATAATTAATATTCTACTACAGAAAACGATCATCATTTTAACAAGTGTAGTTGACTAACTAATCCTACGTTACCAATTTTGTATTTTAAGCTTTCAACAAGAAGAGCTCTATTTTATTGGTAACGCTTTAATCTCCCAGGGTCCCTGAACTGCCCACTGTGTGCATTGCAACCGGTTTAATTTCTCTAAAACCCAGCTGAACACTGGTGCAGCCATTTGTAAATATAGAGGAAGTTTCATCCATCTATCCATGTTTTTTTCTACGCTGGCTGACACATGAGGACACACTGACAGATGACCTCTCACATTAAAGTTGACAAAGTCGTGTATAGTTCTGACAAACGGCTTCAGTTTCTCTTCAGCAAAATCTCTGCATGCTGTTTTCCATGGATTCAGTTAGATGTTACTTATATTTCAGACTAGCTTAATCATGCACAAGAAGCAAAACCAGTGCAACAGGAAATTGCAACCAGAGTATTAAAAGCGTTCTACACAGCACTATTTATGCATTAAAGAGGAATGTCTATGGCGCAATCTCAATCAACACTTGTGTCAGTAATTCAGTTTTGCTTTGAAGAAAGAAATGTGGTATGTCCCTCTCTTTGAATCATAACTGAAGTAGAACTCCATCAAATTTGTGAGTCAAATCAATCAGCCCTATTTTGATCCGGTACGTTTTAGGCTTTATAACTGTATGTACTGTAAAGTGATCTTAACATCTTGACAGCGATAACCAAAGAGAGGACATGGTGGATGTGGAATTGCATTGGAGACTAAGGTTATCGTAAGTCTTTAATGATCTGATTATTAAGTCTGGTCTGAGCTAAGATCATCTCCTGTTTACTGAATGCAGTCGGTGCCCTTTTACCATACAAAAGATGTGTGCACAGTCACATTTTGCCTGTGTAGGTTTTATCCTCCTCACACGGTCCAAAGGCGTGCAGGTTAAGTACACTGGTGTCTCTATGGAGTCCTTAAACCGTCAGTTCAACGTTTTTTGTTTAACAGGTTTTTGGTCTGAAAATAAGTTTTGTGGTTAATACAAACTGATTTCCTGCAATATAATAAAGTAATCCCTTTTGTCAAGTGAGCCCTTGCAAAGCTAACTTCTAGGTCGGCCTACAAAAACATGGCATCACTGCACCACTCTATTGTCTGTAGGTGAGCATGTATTCATCAGTGTGTATGCGTGAGTCCTGTGATAGACTGGTGATCTGTCTGCTGAGTAGCCTCCAGCCCCGGACACTAAAGGGACCCACACACACTTCACTAGTGTAGACATGCCTACGGAAGCGATTTGGGTTAAGTATCTTGCCCAAGGACATTTATGTCGCTTTTCCACTGCAGTACGTAGCACGGTTTAAGCGGGCCAGGCCAAACCAGGCCCGTTTTTTTTTGCATTTCCACTAGGGGTAGTTCTGGCTCAGGGCTACTTTTTCACCTTTTTTCTGGCCCTCCAAAATCGAGGTTCTTACCAGGCCAACAACCGGGCTGAATATGCTAAACTAGTGACGTAAACACTCTCGACTGCTGAATGGTCAGAGAGAATCGCTGGCAAGGGGGCTACAACTACAACAAAATGAACATATTTTATCGTGATTTAATTGTAATCCACGTTTCAAAATGATGCCGAAGTAACAACATACTGATACCGGTCTGCAGACAGACGGCAGGCGAAAAACCTTTTAAAATGCGTGTTTTCTGAATGGAGATCAGATCGATCAGGCTAAGCTAACGTTGTATATGCTCCGTCCACACTCACAACAACGGCCTACAGACATAAATAAAGCAGCGACTGTATTCGCCATGACACAGACAGTCTGTGGTTTGTACTCGTTTAACTTTTGTCTAGTTTCTGAATAGATATGAGGAGCTGTGAGCTGTGAGTGCTAACAGCTAACGGCTGATGTTTTGGTTTTGTGGTTCGCATTGAAGATGACGTTACAGCAGTTTTACGCAGCTTCGCTCCGCCGGCCGAACAGCCGGTCGCCCCGCCTACACTGCGTTACTATAGTTACTACCCCAGTTGGTAAACTGTAATGGAAACGCAGCATAAAGTGAGCCTGGCCTATCAAGGCCTAACCATACCGTACTAAGCCGTGCTAGGTCCTGCAGTGGAAACGCGCCATTAGACATGTTAACTGCAGGGGGTGGGATAGAACCAATGACCCTCTGACTGGTAAATGAGCAAATCTACCCCCACTATAAGTCTACTAATAGATAAGTCTATCGGCAGAAAGATAATCACACTATTTTCATAATTGATTCATTGTTTATCTACATTTTCATTAGAAAAAAGGGAACAAAAAACTGTTTCCAGCCTCTCATTCATGGAGATGTCCTTTCTTTTCTTTGTTTAATATGATAATAAATTCATTATCTTTAAAAGATGGACATCTTTCACTATTTTCTGACTTTCTAATCTCTGTTACTAATGAGCTTAACATGTAATTGTTAACTAGAGAACAGTGTTCTTCAGAGATACAGCTGCTTATTTTACTCTATTTCATTTTTTTTTTTTTTTTTAAATTCTATTTTAATTATATATTCCTTCTATCTTTTTAAAGGGGACCTATCATGCAAAATGCACTTTTGTACGTCTTTTATACATGAATATGTGTCCCCAGTGTTCCAGGGAACTCACCAAGTGTCAGAAAACACAACCCTCTATTTTCCTCCATACCCAAATCTCTAAAAAAGGGGCTGCAACGGATCTGATAAAAACTGATCCAGATTTGAACACTTTACTGACGTCAGGAAAGTGGCGCTACGGCTATTGGGCCAACTCTCCACCTATCAGGGGAATGTGGGGTTGGGCCACGGCCGGCCATTGCCGCTCGAAAGCGGTGGAGACGCTGTAGTACATATGCCAGGCCTGTAAGTGGCGCTGTAGTCTGCCACAAAAGCAGCGAAGAAGACTTGGTTACCATGGTTACCCTTCTGTTTATTCTCCGCTGTGGCTTTCTTTCTCCCTCCCCGAGGCAAGCGTTTGCTCCCGCTGCTTTAATTCAATGCAATCCCTCCCCGTCGAGGCAAGCACTGTAATTCTCTCCGGTTAGTCCACCAGCAGATGACAAACACCCACCTCTCCGCCTCTTCCAAAGAACGAGGGGACCGTGCGGCAGAGTTTCAGTTTCAGTTTCTTTCGCCGGTCAAGATGTCCGTTAAAGTTTAAATCTTCCGGACAAAATTAGAAAAGTGCCGGTCAAAGGTCTTCTTTGTTATTTATTGAGCTTTAAGACAAATGAATAACGACTCTATATAGGCTATAATAAAACACGGAGGACGGAGATCTCTTTTTCTCCCCCTCTTCTGACAGCCCAGCAGCTGATCAGAGCGGCTCCCCTCTCCTGCAGGGGGGCGTGGTCAGCTGCAGCTCACAAAATCAGACCCGTAGACAGCAAACAACACAGAGCGAAATGAGGCATGGCTAAAATGCATGGTATTTCGAAAACAGAAACGTATAAATATACCTTATATAGGTATGGCCTTACAATATATAATTTAAATATAGCATGATAGGTTTCCTTTAAATTGACAATCATGTGTGTTGATCTGTAAAGCCCTTTGAGACAAATGCATTTTGTCATAATGGGCTTTATAAATAAAGTTTGAATTTGAATTTTGCTCTGAGGTATTAATTTTGGAAGCATTCAAACATGTTCCTGGTAAATAAACCTCATCTAAATATTGACCAAAATAATCAGTTATGATTTTTGCCATCACCAAACAAGCCTTATGATAGGTCCCCTGCTAAGCTAATGCCATGAACTAGGGTGCTTGATGTAAATCCATATATAGAGCACCAATCTAATCTGTTTATCACAATAATTGAAACAGCAGGTGTTGTCTGTGAACCTAATAATATCATGATAAACTGGCACCACAATACAAACAAAGACCTTTATAAAACACACGGGAGGAGCACATGTAAATACACACCCTGGGTGTAAATCCTGGAACCATCCGTCACTTGGCAGCCAGACATAATGTGTGTGTGTGCATGTGTGTATCTGTGTGTTTGCGTGTGTACATTGAACTGTTGTAATCCACTATGAGAGGGATGACTGACACAAACAGAGCTCAATCCGTCAGCAGTTTTCCCAAAAAACAGAAGTTAAGAGTCTCCAACAGTTTCACAAACTTTTCATGAAAGTCAGCTAGGACACTTTGAAAGCAAAACTGGTTTTTGAGGAAAATAGAAAAACAAAAACTCCATTTGATTTTTATTTTGGTTAGAATATCTGGATTTTATCTTCGTTTGTATTTGTATTAATCTTGTGTTATCTCATAAATGTTTATTTATTCAACTTCTGCCTTTTTTTAATTCATTTAAATGCTGCACTCAGATCAATTCATGTATTTCATGTGCTTTTTGTTAATTGACAGATTAATAGATATATTTCGTATTGGTGTTTTGTGTATTCAGTTCAAGGTTTAATTTTGTCAATAAAAGAATGTTGTAAAGAATTCCCTTTAATTGTTTTTATTATTCAAAAAGCATACTATTGTGTTTGAGAAGTTTACTAAAGCTGCACAAATGTTTATTTAACACTAGTAGTTGTGTAAATGCAGATGTCAACAACTTTAGCCCATTTAGCATATTTTCCTAATTTCCTGCAGCCCTAAAAATGTTTGTATTTCTTTAGTTCTATCAAAATGATAGAAAGGAACAACAGTGTAATAGACAGCATAGAAGAAGTGGGTTTCGAAAGACCTAAATTCAAACATTAAACCTTGTACACAAGAACATATAAATGTTTTCTTGTTTTTTTAAGTATGAGCAGTACATGTCATTTTACTTGAAGTTTGATTTCTCAAGTGATCTCAAGTCGTCAGGAGTGGAGTGCATCAGCTGGGCGTAAGACTGGGCGTAACTCTACGTCCGACGTAGAACCAAAGGTTAAGACCAAACTAAAGTTATGCCTAGTGCACCACTTAGATTTACAGTAAGCCCTGTATACGTTGCGCCTGGGTGTAACTTTTACGCCTAGTATGGAGCAGGCGTAAATCAGAAAGACAGACTAGTATCCATAGTAACGTAAAACAGGCAAGAAGGGAAATAACGATGGCAGTGAGTCTTGTTTACAGGTTTAACAACGAAAGGGCATTAAGACGAGAGAGTCGTCCGTGATCGAACAAACCCACTGGACATCTATTCGGACAGTGAGCTGATAGAGGTTTCGTTTCGGTAGACAAGCCCTTTTAGAATTAATCGAGGAGATCTCCCCTCAACTCCAGCATGGATCAGACAGAAACGCTGCGCTCTCCCCAACCTTGCAGGTGCTGATTACGTGTGTTGCTTGGCAACAATTACTGTTTCACGTGCATTGACGTGGACGCGCATCTTAAGACTAGGCGCAGCTACGACCGTGACTAGTCAGGCTTGGAGCACTCGGTGTGAATTCAAATCACTAAGTCGGACATAGCTAAGCCCGACGTTAGAGTTAAGACCTACTTTTTTACGCCCAGCTGGTGCACTCCACTCCTGATGCTGGACTCAGTTTAGAAAAAAATAAACAGGAAAAAACTGCACTTTAAAATATAACTTATATCATTATTTTACTTTTTTTTTATTGGTGCATCTTTGTTCAAGTTAATTCAGTTAAAGGAGAATGTTGCAAATTATTTCCTTTTTTTTTTTTTTGTAAGTACATACTCAAAAGCAGAACGGAATTTACAACATTAACATTGTCTTGATTATTGCGAGTAATCGCATTTTCCTGATTCAGACACTCAAATAATAGATAAAAACTAGTGTATTAGATACAGATAAGAAGTGGATTCAGAGAGACCAAAACTCAAACGTTGTCTTTTTTGTGTTATAGCGTGAGCAGTTATCATGAAGCTTTCAACAAATGCCACGTTTAATTTCTTAAAATATCTAATATGATCCAATTTGAGAATCCTGACTTTGACGTTGATGTACTTTATTCTTTGTACTTGCTCTGTAAAACATAAGAAAAATGGCAAAAAGAGATTTGGCCATAACAGCCCAAATGGAAAACATGTGCAGTAGATGTTTTTATGTTTCCATATTTCAATTGTTTCTTTAGTGTCCACAGAATACTTTTATACAATGATTTAAAATCTGTAGCTCCGGCAAAAATCTCATGACAAATGTTCAACTGCATTTGCATTAACATGGCCATAAAATGGTCATAAAACACATAAGAAAAATATCTTTAAAGTGATGAATTACCTTCCTTCAGGGCTTTGTCCACATTGTGTGACACCACCACCCTCCTGCTCTGGCTGGACTCCTGAACCGGCACCAAAAAACGGGCCTGAAATACAACAAGATCACATCAATTATCATATCACAGAAGTTGATTAAAGCAGGGACAAAAAGGAAATATTGGGCAAAGGAGAAAGAGAAGATGGACAGCTGTGTGTCAGGAATGAGTCCTTAAACCAGGAAATGAGTTAGCATTTTAGTAAGTAAGTAAAACTTTATTTATATAGCACCCTTCTCAACACGAATGTACAAAGTGCTTTACATACAGTACACAATACACAATACAACTATAAAATGTAGAATAAAAGGCATAAAACACAGCAAGTAAAAGATAGGATAACATTTTTTAGCACTTGCAGTTCCCTTGTTTAGAAGTCAACTTTCTTTTAAGGTGTTTTTGGTAAGATGCCTGAAATAAGGTCTTTGGTTAACAGAATCTAAGAGATTTTAACGTCTTGTTCTACGACATAAAATACGTCAGTATGTAACCTCTTCGTGAATGTCAGATTCTATGTGTCATAAAAACAACAGTTGCTAACAAGTGGATAAGAACATTAGCCGCCTTTAGCTTAGCGGTGGTGAAGTGAAGCCATGTGGCCGTGTAGTTCTTTTTTAGCCTAACGTTAGCATTTTTATTTACTTTTACAAAATCACAAAGTGGATTAAGATGTGGACATTATCCTGCTGAACAAAATGTGTCTTTGAGCCTATTTTCTGCAATATTCCAAGATCCAATGGAAAAATAAAATGTTTTGTCAAGGAAGTGCTTACGATGCTAACCGTTTTGGCTTACAAAAATACGTCATCACGGCACGACTCTAAAAGCCTTAAAATTCTAAAAAAAAGAAGGCAGGCAGCCAAAATGTATCACAGTGTATACAACATGTGGACCAGACGAATGCTTGTGACCATACTCCTCCGCTGTCAACATCAATAACTAATCGAAGCTGAAAGGCAGCCGCTGGGTTGTGGCTGCCCATTAAGGCGAGCCACCAACCAGCAGGCAGCAAGGACACAACAGCAGAATAAAAATCAGCCTGCATCTGTGTGTGCGTGCATGTTTGTGTGTGTGTTAAAGTGTGTCTAAATCCAGCAGCATGCATGACTCCATCTCATTTATTATAGAAGAACAGTGAGGATCCAAAGGGAAGAGAGAAGAGGAGAGAGGGGGAAAGATGGGAGGAGGAGGAAGGGTGTAATCGAGCGGGGAAAGGATGAATCTTTGAGAGCAAAAATGAAAGCAAAATATCAACCTGTGTCTGTAACTGAAGTAAAGGTTAGATGCAGAGGTCTGGCGAGCCCTTTGAATATTATAATTAGCAGCAATTTTGTTTTCACTAGTGGAAATGTCATTTTCGACACATCAAAAGGTCATTTTGACATGTGGGAATGTTAATGAAAGATGGCTGTAAAACTATTTTGACATGACAAAATGTGTTTGACATTATGAAATAACACTACAAATAGTCATAGTTAGTCCTTTTTCATTTGTTAGAAGAATTATTACATATATGTACAATATAATAAACGAGGAAAGAGGGTTGTGACTAGTGAAAAATGTGATTTCCCAATTCCGATATCAACAATTACATTTTGTATACGTAGTCAAAATGACCTACTAATATTGGGTATGTACTTATACTGTCATTGTCATTGGTATAGATTACATCTTCAGTATTTGCAATTGTATTTTAGATATGTTAAATGCAATTAAAGATCAAAAGGTTATTTTAACATGTCGGTATGTTAATTAAAGATAGCTGGAAAACTATTTTTACAGGTTACAAATATTTTCCCATTTAGAATGACATAACTAATGAAAAGTGATTTACTGATATCTTTAATTCACTTAAAGATATTAGGATCTTTCTTTTTTATTGGTAAGAATAACAAATTAAGGATATCTACAATTGAATTTCAACATGTTGAAAAAGGGTTGTGACTAGAGGAAATTAGATTTTAGTTTCAGACTAACAATTGCCTTTCGAACATTAAGTTAACCAAGTTACCTTCATTTCAGATATGTATGTAGGTCATTGAAGATATCTACAATTCCTTATTATGATATCTGATATAACAAAATAAATTAAAGATATCTCAAACATAGTTGCTACTATTACAAAATGATTTCTCCACTAGTTACAATTTTGTTTAAAAAATACTAGATCTCTGTAATTGTATTTGAAATGTGGCGACCTATTTGACCTTTATAATTAGCAGCAATTTTGTTTCCCCTGTGGAAATGTCATTTTGACACGTCAACAGGTTACTTTGACCTGTCGGGATGTTTTTAAATAAAGATCGTTTTTTTTGGGGTTGTGACTGGTGGAAATGTCCTTTCCCATTTCATATAAACATGTGCATTTCTGATACATAATTAGAATATTAACGATAACTACAAGGGCTGTTATAAAATGTAAAGTTATCAAAGGAAATGAAGATATCCAAGTCATAATTTGTACTAGTGAGATATTAAGTTAAAATTGTAATTTAATTATCTGAAATGCACTTCTGTTATTACATTCAATCTAGTACCATTTTGAGGCTAAGATGTCAATACTTTTCTTTTTTACCAGTCTTAAGTGAATGTTATATATCTGGAATTCTATGTATGATAACTGCCAGAAAGAACAAGTGTAGATATTGGCTTCTTAATATTATAACATGTCACAATTGAAGTAGAGGTGGCTGTAATTGCATTTGAATAGTCAATGATACAAGTTGAATGGTTGTAATTAAAGTTGTAAATTAAATTATCTCTTTTATGACTTCGAATAGGACTCTAAATCGATGGTTGAAAAGCATTACACCAAAATTGCAATTACTGCTTTGGAGATTGACAGTTTTCCATCCATCAATGGATTCCAGCATTTGGTTATAATTAATAATGCTAATATCTGTTTACAGTCCACATTTGATTAACTATTACAATAAGCAGTATTTAATTCGAACTCATAATATTTGTTTGTATTCTGTTTTATCTTATTATATACATAGTATACTTATTCGAGCATTGTGTCATTTGCACTATGTTGTGTCTTTTTGTGTGTGTGTTTAAAGTATATTGTATGTTTTAGTGTCAGACGAGGCTGGTGGCTATTGTGCATATGCCAATAAAGCCTATGAATCTTTGACTCTAATTATATAAGACTGAGCCTAATAGAGAAAGAGTGCATTATCAACAGTTTAATGAATGCGTGTAGACTGCCAGGCTCTTACCATCAGCTTGTCGAAGAACTCCAGCCGTGCAGCAGACTGCCTCCTGCTCCTGTTGAAGCAGCTGACTTTGAGAGGACTCTTCCTGACCAGCAGAACAAAACTCCCAGCCAGGAAGCACAGCAGGGCGAAGGACACATATATGAACAACTTGAGGAAGAAGGATGTGAGAGACAGGCCTCCCCATGCCAGTTGAAACACTACCGCCGCCACCACGCCCAGGCAGAATGCCGGGACGAACCGGAAAGAGGAGCCGAGAGAAGAAGAGGTGAGGGCGGCCGACATGGGCCCCTCTTCCCCTTCTCCTCCTCCGGTGCTGCTACTCCCTCCAGCCAGTGGTGTAATGGTAGTTGAAGGGGTGGGCATGCTGCGACCCCACCATCCATATATGTGTCACTGCTAGCGAGGCTGAAAAGTTGGAGTCTATACGCGAAGTCAGAGAGGTAGGTATACAGTCAAGATCTCCCTCGACTACAACACTGTGTCCAAGACGAGGCATCCCCGCTCTGACATCTCCTCTCCGACCCACGCCGTTATGTTTTCCACGCTTCTAGCATCGGCACCAGCACAGGCACGGAGCACTGTCATCCACAACACGGTACCCTGGGCAGAAGAACAGGGCACCGGGCGACGGGAGCCGGAAAAAAGCAGGCGGAGGGAGACCCAGGGTGATAGCAGCAACATCCACCGTCACCTTGGAGACAAATAGGTGCAAGGGTAGCTTAGTGACTGTAGCTAACCAACTGAGCTAGCAGTAAGCTGAACTAAGAAGGCAACATAAGTTACTGTTACATGCTTTAAAACAGAACGATATATAAAATACAAGTAAGAAGCAGTGAATATTCTAAAACTGCTGTGCGGTTTGACTTGTTAGCCAACTGCAATATCGAACGCTAGCTACCTAGCTCGCTTGCTAAATAACCAATTGAACATCAGCTAATGTTAGCGTACTTACCTATCGTCGCAAAAGGTGTGCAATAACAACATTACATTCTGGTTGTCCTCTCTGTAATATGATGAATGGGAAGGTTTGCAATGGCAAAAAGTGTTACAATGACAAAATGTGCCAGGTTCAAAATTCCCAACAGATAAAAACAAGCAACTGTTATTCTCTTCGATCCCAGCTGACTGACAATCTCTCGAACGTGAAAGGGTGTCAGCCAATCAGCGCGTGTGTTAACCAAGGACGGTGCGCCTGTTTATAGAACAGGACAGCCCGAATGGAAGGGCGGGGATCTAATTAAACGCTTGCTGTGCAGTACTTGAAATACAACCCACCGACTGGGCAACCAGGTATCATAATGAAGCGTACAACGAGATAAAGGATCAACAAGCCTGGTTACTCGATTTTTTTCTGGCAGACATTAGATGAAATTGCTGTCTAACATTTATAAAATAGTTTTTTTGTTTCAATGTTTCTTGAATTGTAAAATATTGTTTTTCACAGTAATGAATACGTATTATTCAGACATATTCACCTCAGGTTGTTTCACACATATTGAGCAGTAATTCTCTGGACATCTATAAAACATTACTTTTTTTACCTATCTCTATTTTGTAAAACAATGAAAAAATTAAAGATACAAATATTGGCAAAGGCCCTTTGAAGTATTACCTAATTTACACATAATTTAAAGGCCAGAAAAAGGATTCATATGAAAAATAAATAAACTGTTTGGTGGGGTAGGTAATTTTGGAGAAACCAGCTCGAGTGCGCTAGAATTTGTGAAACACAGCCGGAAAAAATCTGCCACTTCCTTACAGAGCCCCTCCTCCAACACACACGAACGCGCACATGACCAATGAGGGCACGAGATAAATTTGTGCACAGATGGAAGGCTGACAGGCAGGTAGGCCATCCAGTTGTTTTAGCCGGCCCGGCTAAAATGATCGTGCTTTTTCCACAGATGACATTTTTTTATGGATTTTTTGTCAAAGCACTTAAGATATTCATTGCTATCGGGATGTTAAGAGCATTCCATGGAATATAACAAAAAGTGTATCTCGAGCCGGTTTCTCAAACTTACTTACCCCACCTTTAACTGCCAAGAGAATACTACCGCAATACTATTCTATTGTTTTATAATCAAATGAATGAATGGATTAAGCAATAAGTCATACAATTATTATGTCAACAAATTGACATGCATGACTTTGCTTTCTACACAATTGAAAGATATCAAAAGACCATTAACATATTCTTAACCCTTTTTTTTAGACAGGAATTGTCATTGTGGCATAAATCAGCCCAACAAATTGTTTATGCTAAAATTAGGCTTTTATTTTCATTAAGAAGATTTTGTTCTCCCCAAATCCTAAATAATTTGAGCATTTTATCCAGTCTCCATTTCAGCTTTCCTAAATGGTAACACATGATATGCAATACATAAAGTACACAAAACATTATGATTAATGGTGAGTAATAGTTATTCTTGACATTGTTATATTAACCTTATGTCAATTCTTCAAGGTGCTCATGCAAGCATTTGCGATAATTCACTGGACAAAACGATGTGTTTCTTGGTTTTATTATGTGAAATATGGTAAAAATGCAAATGGCATGGATATAGCTGGATGTATGTTCACAATCAACATTGTGTGATAACAAGCACAATGTATATTGCAATTCTAAAAGATAGCTTTACCTGTAACATCGTGAAAAATAACAATACGTTATGTCTACCGTTCTTTGCTTTCATAATAGCATTCTTTTTATTCAACTGTTTGTGTGAACAACTTATGTATCATAACATTTGGGCCAATTCCCAGTACTGGGCTCTGCTGCTCTTATTATCATATAATGCTGTATGAAGAGAACACTTAAGTTCTTGTTACAGCCTTTTTCAATGACATGATAATGGCTGCTTTCACTTGCCTTCAGTCCAATCATTCGGCCTCAATTTCCCTTTTATCCTGCAAAACAGACAGCTGTGTGTGCAAGTTACTTCCCCCTTACAACATTCATGTCTCTAAAACAGGCACACGGTTTCACAAGTCATCTTACAAGTATGTCGTCATATGAGCTACTATTGTCTATAAAGATGTTATAATATTGTTAGCACAATGTTTCATTTAAACCATTTCAGACATTTGTGTAATTGAATCTGTGGTTCATCTTGGCTACATTTACTCTTTTAGTTACAGCTACTCTACTCCATCCAGATAAACCAGGAAGCATATTTGTTAAAGGTGTCAGTGGGATTGTTAAGTGCTTAGTGTGCGAACAAGTCCAAACGGATTTGAGAGGTTTGCTTAGCTCCAAAAATAATCAAGCCATGTAGACTTTATATCTCCACATGTCTTATTTAGGAAGTTGGTCTGTGATGTACAGCATTGGGGTCGTCAATGGGATCCATTTTGAAGTCCATGGGTCTCAGTTTCATGGAGCTTGTCTTCAGGGAGTACCACCATCCTCTCCAAGTGTACCAAACTACACCGTTGTCTGTCAAAGCACTGTAGTGCCCGTTGGGGTAGTACATTCCATTAAGATGGGCTGAGTGACACCTAGGGATTGATAAATGCAGAGGAAATATATTAAAAAAAATATTGAATGACTGTTATGGTGTTTTAACATCAAGCGTAAAGTGAGGTCCTTGCGCTCTGTCATTACGTGCCAATGCAAATTATATGAATTTGTGTAAATTGAAAAATGTGCATTTTCACACTCTGACACAAACTAAGTACATTTGCAATTCTTTGTGTCGCACACACGGTACGCCTATGACCGTTGAGATCTTTCTGATTTCCTGGACGTTGTTGAATCAGAAATGGAGTAATACATGATGCCTCATATTATACAGACGGTACAAAAAAGGACCTTCTTTGGAGAAAAGTAACCGAGCAAGTTGGACTAGATGTTAAGTTTGGAATTTTTTTGTAACTTGATTCCAGCTATCTGTTGTACTTCGAAACAGGTAACCAATCGCATAAGCCCACATTAGCCCAACATCTATATTTCAAAGATTAGATGTCTGGCTTGGTAGCAATTTAGATTCAACAGCCTATGTTTCCATGTGTTTCCATGGTTGATAATGGGCTGAAATCCACCGCACAGAAATATGTACTATGGCTGTATATATGTATGCTTCTTAATAAAAACATTTGAAACAGATAATGGGGCGAAATCCCGTAAAGAAGCATTGGTATTTACACAGAAGTATTTCTTTCTTCCTTTCTGGCGTGTCTTACACGTTAATTCATAAACTAAAATTGAAACCTGCGATAGCAATATGAGGCATATAAACATTTGCTTTGCTTGGTTCATATGTATATCATATCATTAATCCCGTACTTGTTGAACCACCAGCCTCCATTGTCTTCCTGTGCGCAGTTTCCTTTGTAGTTATCGTTGTCCTGGTCGTGGGTGCTGAATTTGATGCCCTGGTGACTGGCCCACTCTGACGCACCTACCTGATAACTTCCAGATAAAGCATCTCCAGCTGTACCTACATAGGACCCAAAGGCAAGTCGATAGTGATCCTGCAGAAAGAGACAGATATGAAGATAGCTGGACCACTCGCGAATAAAAAATAATAATTGACATTTTAGGAAAAAACACTTTAGACTCACGTTAGCTTACATCACAAACGCAATATACTTCGATTATGTTTGTAACTTAAGTTCCGAAACAAGTGTACATCCAAACAATTCACTTTTTCCAAAATTATTTGGATTATTATTACATTTAGTGTTCAATCAACACCTTTTCATTGGCCACTTGGAAGTTCTTGTACTCTGCATAGCGCTGGTTACCATCAAAGTCTCCCAGGTTAATCCTCAGTGAATAATTTCCTGTAACAGACAAACGATTATAAAAAAAAAACATATCCCATCTGCACAACACTAATGATTCTTTTCATTGTTTTTGCCTTCAATCTTCAAAAATCTTAATGCTTTTAAGAAGTTTAATTTACCTTGTGTGGTAATGTAATGCAGGTTATCATTTCCGAGCCAAAACTCTGCATCCTTGTCTCCAAAACCATCCTTATACTCTGCCCACGATCTGATAGACAGATATATCGACATATAGATACATAGATAGATATACTTTCCTGTGATTTCATTATTGTAGACTAACAGGTTTCAGACACACCTGTTAAAACTCTCTGTTCCATTGATCCGTCGCTGAATGACGGTCCAACCTCCTCCATCACTCATATCACAGTAGACTCTGAACGGGAAAGGGCTGCCATGGGGTTTGATGGAGTAGAAACCACTGGATTTGCAGCCAGAACTAAAGAGCTGGGAGCAGTCTGACACGCACACAGAAAAACAGAAATATGCACTCAGTTTTTGTTACATCAAGTGAGTCCTGTTGCTGCAATGTGAGACCTGAAACCAGATCATTTAATCTATCAAATTATGTTTTCCAGTCCTGATGCTGTGGCCCTGACCTGTGTACTCGGTGTCCAGGCTTTGGTCCGGTCTGGCTTTGTCCTCTTTGCCAGGCTGGTTCGGCAGTTGCAGTCGGTGTAGGAGGGTTTCCTGTTTCTGAAGCTGGCCCTTCAGAAGCTTCTCTTGTTCCCGCAGACGAGCCACCTCCTCACGGCAACTGTCTGACGCCTACACACACATTTGTATCGCTTCATTTGTGAAGGTCTTCAATATTCATTGCCTAACTCTTAGATAAAATACTTATAAGTCAAAGAGTGAAACATAACTTTTTCTACTTTCTGTTTGTTTAAAGGGGACCTATCATGCAAAATGCACTTTTGTACGTCTTTTATACATGAATATGTGTCCCCGGTGTTCCAGGGAACTCACCAAGTGTCAGAAAACACAACCCTCTCTATTTTCCTCCATACCCAAATCTCTAAAAACGGGGCTGCAACGGATCTGATAAAAACTGATCCAGATTTGAACATTGACATCACTGACGTCAGGACGGTGGCGCTACGGCTATTGGGCCAACTCTCCACCTATCAGGGGAATGTGGGGTTGGGCCACGGCCGGCCATTGCCGCTCGAAAACGCTGGAGACGCTGTAGTACAGGGCTATTCAATTGGCGGCCCGCGGGCCAAATCCGGCCCCGGGGTGATATTTACTGGCCCTTTGAGTATAATGTTAAAAAGTAATCAATTTTTTTTTTTTTAAGATTTTTTTTTTTTTTTTTTTGTGCCAGAGTACCTTT